AATCAAGAGTCGGACGCTTAACTGACTGAGCCACCTAGGTGCCCTAATATGGATTTTTATATGCAAATCAAACAGATATACCTGATATGTATCATTTTGTTCCATTACATATATCAGATATATCTGTATGATTTGCATATAGAAAAGCATATCCATATTTTAAGGGTTTTTTTGACTTGCGCTGAAATTAAGAGTCGGACGCTTAACTGACTGAGACACCCAGGTGCTCTAATATGGATTTTTACATGCAAATCAAACAGATATACCTGATATGTATCATTTTGTTCCATTACATATATCAGATATATCTGTATGATTTGCATATAGAAAAGCATATCCATATTTTAAGGGTTTTTTGAGGGAATTTTGACTGACTGTACACAATTTTTGTCTTACTGCAGCCTTGAGAATGTGAATACCTAAAACATGTGACTTCACTAGAACTGACACTCAGGAAATGGAAAATATCCTCTGTGTAGAGCAGAAATAGCAACAGCAAAGATGAAAGGGGCCAAGAGCAGTAACCAGACACCAGCATTAAAGGGATGGGCAGGAGTCTGGAAAGAGGGTGGTAGGGACAAAGGCCCAATTACCACTCCACTGAGAACGAGATGTGAAGTTAGCAGTGAATTACAAAGATACCCTGTGTCTTCCAGGAGCTTATTTGTGACAGAGGCAGGTCTTTGGGATCTAGAAGAGAGATATACTTATATCTGTATCTGTATCTATATCTGTATCCTGTATCTATGTCTATAACTGTATCTATATCTGTATCTAAATCTGCATCTGTGTCTATATCTGTATCTATATCTTTATTTGTATCTGTATCCTGTATCTATATCTGTAACTGTATCTATATCTGTATCTACATCTTAATCTGTATTACATCTATATCTGTATCTACATCTGTATCTGTATCTATATCTGTATCTGTAACTGTATCTATATCTGTATCTACATCTGTATCTACATCTATGTCTGTATCTACATCTGTATCCATATCTATATTTGTATTTGTATCTATATCTGTATGTACACCTATCTAACTATATTTTTTAATGGTAGAAATTTTAATAAGTTTATGGCCTATTGGGAGAAGAGTCAGTAGAAGTGAGAATCAATGAAAATATAAGAGGGAGAAGAAACACCTGATGTGGATACAAACAGCTTTGGGGAAGGAGTTAACCTTGAACAAACTGGAGGGATGACAGATACAGATAAGTTTGTAAGTACTAGGATGGGAAACTAAGGGTTTGCTTCACTTTTCTCAAGGAAGTAGATGGTAAGGATACTCTCTAAGGGAGGAAAAGATGGGTATTTGGGTAGATGGCTTGAAGAGCATACTGAAGGCAACTTTGGATTCATCCTTTTCTTTCACCTTGTTAGCATAAGTGCTGGCAAACAAACTGAGGATTTAATCCAATGTAAATTTCTCATTAGGATAATTAGTTTTCTAGCCTTCCTAAAGAAGTCCTGGAAACTATGACATATTTATGGCACTCCAACTCAACCATTACAGGATATTCCAAATTCCCTTTATTAATTTTTAATGGGGATACTATGGAGGACCAATCCTTCCCATCCTTCCCAACTTCAATGTCCTTCTTTCCATGAAGACTTTTCAGATATCCCCAGGAGGATATTTGAATAATCCTATTGCTTACCTGCACATGGGAAGTACATATTTATGAAGAAACTAAATGAACTTTGGAAGCTGATAAGTTCCTATAATTTGCTTAATTACACTGTCCTATTTGTGAGCTGTATTGGTGACTTATTCTTCAATAGAATTATAGGATTTTAAAACTGACTGTGTTGACAAACAGGAATGTTCTTTATGTGTTTTATGCCAGGTGAATGTGAATGGGAAATAGATTCTAAAAATCTGGGTTGGTCAAATATGAAAGGCAGGTATTTCTTTTATGGCTTGGACAATCTGAAGCTAGATTTTTTTCTCCATACTGTCCAAGCAAGAAGCTGACCAATTTGAGACTTTGCTCACCCCATCTTTGCCATCAAGAAACAGACGATTGATAGCATAAATCCCCATACCTAATCAAATCAAACAAGCGAGTTCACTGAAGTAGATATTTGTCACTGTCCTTAAAACCTGTTCAGACTTGACCTTCTATTTCTATTCCTCTCCCCACAAGGGAGACTACAGGCCTGATAATGGTAATTGCATGTGGAAGGAGCCAAAAAAGAACCTCTTCTAATGTATAAGGAAGGTCAAACCAGCAAGGGGCCCTCACTTAGAAGTAGCCTAGTCTTGGGGCACCTGTTGAGGCCACTCTAAGTGAACAACCTCTCAGGGTGGAGACAAATGAGGAAGAATGGACTGTTGGGTCTTCTTTTGTAACTCTGGGATGAATCTGTGGTTAGAGGTTCCCTGGGAAGGCTAGAACCATGGGAGATCTGATTCCCAAACAAAATCCAGAATCCCCCATCCCCAAAAGCCCGTGTATTAGTAGAACAAAATCAAAACAAAGGTAAGTGCAGGGCAAGCAGAAAGGAAAAAGAAAGCTCTTTTAGATTGCATGGGACTTATTTTCAAGGGGCTGCTTCTGCTTTTTTTCAGGCAGTAGATTCCCTAGTCTACCATTAGCTACCAAACTAGAAATCATTTGGGAATAACATTCTCCATTATGCTCTGCATATGTACAATTCTTTTCCCCAATTAGATCAAGCACTTGGATCACAAAATCTCTGAGTCACTTTTGTTGGCCTCCCTCTCCTAGCCTAATATTTACACGTGATAGTTTTCAGTGAAGAGAGAAACTTCAAGAAACTTTCAAGATTTTGATACTGTGAGTTTCAGATGTTAAAGTACAGCTTGAATCTTGGGAAACTATCAGTTATAATTAGGCTATAATAATTATATTATGCTTAAACAGCATTCACAGTGAAAGAGAAGTCTGGAATATTAGAAAGGGTTTATCTCTAAAATTATTGCTATATATAAAATGTGGGAAGAGTCTGGCCTACGAAACAGCAGGGTCATTTAATATGTTATCTCACTTTTATGAGTTATAACATAAAAGTGATAGATAAAGAAATCATGCAACATTCACTCCTCCAAATTCATCATTAGATTGTTAGGGTTTTGATAGTCATACTTGGACACTTTTCTCCTTCACCGAAAACATCAGTTTCCAAATGTCAATATTCCAGGAGGCCTAAATTTATTGGTACTTTTCACTTTCAACAATATTTGTTATAAGGTTCACTGAGGTCTGAAACGGAATTCCATTGACAACCACTAGCCCATCAGGCTTATTTGATAGATTTCCTTTCTAGAGCTCTGATTATTCAAGTATCGAACAAAACGGGAAAAGGGTGAAGCTAAGGAAGTAAGAAAGGAGGGCTGAACAAAGTTTTAGCTAAAGAGCATGACAAAAGACTAGTAGACTTTTAATGATGAAAAGAAATGATGAAGAGAAAAAAATATATATAAGAGGATTAAGTAATATAGTAAAAAAGTAAGGGGTCTGGAGTCATATATGTTGATATTTGAATCCCAGTTCTGATACTTCTGAGGTGTGTGATGTTGGGTATGTTATTTCTAAGTAAGCATCAATTGCCTTATCTGTAAATGGGGGTAAAAGTACTTACCTTATGAGGTTGTAATGATAATTAAATTATTTAATTTGTCTGGAGACATGAGGGTTTTGCTCATAGTTTGAATTTACCAAATATTAACACTTACTATAAAGCATTGTGATGGGATTTATCTGAATTAGTCAATAGGTATTTGTTTCATATATAGGAATAATGCTTAGAGTTTTGCGCAAAAGGGAAAAAACAACCCATGAGACCCACCTATACCTGCAAAGAACTTAACTAGTCTTAAAAAAGGTAAATGCAGGGGCGCCTGGGTGGCTCAGTCGGTTGAGCGGCCGACTTCGGCTCAGGTCATGATTTCGCGGTCCGTGAGTTCAAGCCCTGCGTTGGGCTCTGTGCTGACAGCTCGGAGCCTGGAGCCTATTTCGGATTCTGTGTCTCCCTCTCTCTGACCCTCCCCCGTTCATGCTCTGTCTCTCTCTGTCTCAAAAATAAATAAACGTTAAAAAAAATTAAAAAAAACAAAAACAAATTCTCTTTATAAAAAAAAAAAAAAGGTAAATGCAGACACATGCCAGATACAACTTGTTTTCAAGTCAGATTGACTGTGTTCCAATTTTGGCTCTGTTAATTACTTGTGGGTGTCCTTGAACAAGTTACATTTCCTTTCTGATCCTCACATTCCTCATCTGCAAAGTAGGCTTATTAATAAAAATACCTACATGGTATTGTTATATAGTATTAAATAAGATAATGTATGAAAAGTATTTAGTACTCAGTCTGAAACATCATTGCTGTCATATGTTATGATTATTTTTTCATTCAAATCATCAGAGACTTAATAACTTTGGCTTCATGATTTTTAAAAATAATACAAAAAGTTTCTGTTTATAAACTTTCTAGTAAAAGAAGTGCAATGCTCTGATGGAAAAAGTTAGAGAAGTTTACTGAGTACATAAAAGATGTCCCAAATAAATAGAAAGGCATACCATATTCATGGATGAGTTGACTTAATAAATAATGTAGTGACAAAGGTACCTCTTTAATCTATAATTCAATGCAATTCCAAAGTCCCAATAAAGTTTTTCATTGAAATTAATAAGCTGATCCTTAAATTCATAGAAAAGAATAAGTGGTTAAAAAATAGCCAAGGCAATTCAAGAAAAAAAAAATGAGAGGACTTGCTCATCCATATTTACCATGCAGCTGGCATAATTAAAACAGTGTGGAACAGACACATAGACAGACAAGTAGACCAAAGGAATAGAATGGAGAACCTAGAAATAACCCACATGTAATAGGGGAGTTTATATTTATTAGAGGTAGAATAATAAATTTTAGGGAAAAATGTAAAATAAATAGTGCTTGATTAACTAACATCCATGTGGAGAAAGACAAATTAGATTCCCACCTCTAGAAATTTTATTTCAAATGGATTATGGATGTAAACATGAAAAGCAAAATTAAAAACTTTTGGAAGAAAAATGAGAGGTTATGTTTATCATACTAGGGCTAAGAAAGAATTTGCTAAATAATATAAATAAGCACAAAACATTATGGAACAGACTGACTGACCAAATTAAAAGTACCATATTTTTAAATAATAAGAAGCAACAAAAGTGAAAAGACCAAAGACTAGGAAAAGATATTTGTAATCCTACAGCAAAAGATAAGTGTATATAAAGAATTACTATAGATCAATAAGAAAAAGGAGGCAAACAACTCAAAAAGAAGGCAAAGGATATCACCTGGCAGATTATAAGCTGAAAACCTGAATGCCTAATAAACACAAGGCACAAAACCACATGAATTATCAGGAAAATATAAAAGACAAATGAAATAACCATTTCACATTAATCACAATGGCCAACTAAGTCTGACAACATCAAGTGCCTGCAGAGGTGTAAATGAATACAGCCACTTTGGAAAGTAATTTGGAATTTTTATTACAGGTGAAGAGATGTGCACCCCATGACTAAGCAATTCCTACTCAAGTAAAAATCTCATACATGTCTACCCCATGAGACACATATGAGGATGTTCCTTACAGTGGTATTTGTAATAGGAAAAGCTGAAAACAACCTGTTTCTCAATAGGGGGATGGATAAATTGTGGTTTATTCATACAAGGTAACAGCAGCAGTTGACAACGTATAAACTTACATATGGGTAAATAAGTATTTGTATCATTTAAAAACCTAGATATGTTTTTATATCTGTTTTAATCTATGTTTTCATATCTGTGTATTATAGATCTATATAATGAAAACATATGCCGTATTTATACATATATATGTTATAAAAGCACTCAAAGAATGGTTATTTTGAGACGTGGTCATGGGTTTTCAACTCTATTAACATTTTATTTCTTTAAAGGGAGGGAAGCAAGGAAAGAGGGACGGAATCAATCCATGTAATGCAATATGACAAATGTTAGTGTACAACGTGTGTGTAAAGTCAGGGCGGTGGTTATACAGGTCTCTTTTAGGTTGTATTCTATTTTTGTATGTACAAGTTTTCACAATTAAAAATGTTTAAATTACCACCATCACCCCACAAACAAAATAAAACAAAATCCTATCCACTCTATGTGTCCATTCATTAAACCATTTGCAGATTTCTTAATTCTCTCCTTGCCTTTGAGTATGGCACTCCTCTACCCAACCACAAGAACGTTTCACTGAGGCCATCCAGTGTGACTCAGCCATGTTCGTTACCTTCTTTGAGTTCTCCACTTTTCAATGTTCAAACTGTTTAATGTTCACCTTTTACAAAACCTTTTCTCTTAGGCTTAGGGTAGCAGTTTAATCTTGCTACCTCATTCCATTTTCTGAGCAATAACTTCTTTTCACTCTCCAACATGAAATGCAGTTTCAATGGATAGAATGTGATTCTATTAATACCTTTTTGCTTGAGGGCTTCAGTGTTGATGTTTAGATCCCAAGAAAAGACAGAAAGATATATACACAAATCAACATACCCAGGTATGAAAATAGAGGTAGACAGATGGCATCTTTACAATCCCGGCAATTTGGTCTACCACATGCAAACCTACCTTTAAGATAAGTTAATTCATCAGCATCACTGATGCTCAGTAAGTTAGCTCCTTGATTCTGACATGAAACATAAGCTTCCTTCCAAGAAAGAGATGCCTGAGTATTAAATTGGTAGCAACTTCCAATCTGCTCATTCTTTTCCCAATTATCTTCACAGCCATTTTCTGTTGATAAAAAGATATGTTAGCCATCATGAAGTAAGGGCGTAATGTTTTATATTACTAAGAATGTTTACCAATACTGCAATTCAATTTCCATCTTCTTAGGATACACTAAAATTGAAGTTTATTGTTCAAATGACCATGTTTTGATTCTTTGGTTACACAAAGAAATTTTGAAGTCATAGGAACCAAATGACCTTGGCTGATGAAAGCTTCCACTCTCCTATCCTCTACTCTCCCATTATCCGCTACCAATTACAATGCCATATTTTAGCCCCTGCCTGCCCTCTGCCTAAACGTAGGAGTCTTCAACTGTGTTCACGTTGTTAAACTCCTGAGCTGATGAAAAACAAGTTCACTTGCAGATAGCGGCAGACGGCAGAGGGGTTTGCCACAGTTTGCAGTGAAACTCCTGTGTGTATGTGTGTGTGCAGACATGGTACTTAAATGCCCATAATGTAGAACCCAAGTGACTACCTTATTTGAAAAACTCAGTCTGAATTTTTCCTTAATATATTAACAGAGGATTTAATAAATGACATATAATTAATATTATACAATCAATATTACATATGTATATGTACACATGTGTGCATACGTATACAGACGTACATGTTCGTTGTATAATGTGCATATTATTTTCTTCAACAAATACTTAGGCGCACCTGGGTGGCTCAGTCAGTGAAGCATCCAACTCTTGATTTCGGCTTAGGTCATGATCTCATGATTTGCGAGATTAAGCCCCGAGTTGGGCTCTGTGCTGACAGCATGGAGCCTGTAAGGGATTTCCTCTCCTCTCTCTGCCCCTCCCCCTGCTTTCTCTCTCTCTCAAAATAAATGTTAAAAAAAACCCAAATATCTAAAAGCAGTTACAATTCCAGACAAAGACCCTTCAAATTATTTCTTATATGAGATATATAGATCTTGATACAGCTGGTTCAAAAACATACTTAGAGACTCCCATATACTGTCTAGAAGAGGAAACCTAATATAGGCTATATCGTATGTGTCCCAGGCTCCACTCTGGGGGTTTTGCAAAGAGCCTCCCATCATCAGTCACATATTACATGTTAGACTCATGGCCTTTCAAGCTGGAAGGGCCCTCCTAGGTCATCTTGTCTAATGCTCTCATTTCACAGATGGGAACAAAGATCTAGAGGTGCTTGTGGCAGAGCTGTGATCAGAGCACTGGTCTCTAAATCTACTCTTGTTGATCTTTTGAACAGCATACGCTGCTTCTTCAGTCACTTTTGAATGGCCTAAATAGCAATATAGGTGGTTGTGACATTTGGTGAAAACAAAATAGGTAGATTTGCAAGTACATCGCCTCAAGTCTCCTTATTACCACTGGAGCCCTATGCCTGAAATCCAGAAGCTTCCGGGGGATGGCAGTATGTCTGCTATAAAATATAATCTACATGGTTTAGGAATCCTCAGCTTTGAGAAACTCACAGTCTTACTTCGTCCCTAAAAAGAACTCTGAGAGGTATATGAATGCATTAATACCTCCCATTCTCACCCCACCACCCAAAGGAAGCTACAGACACTGATACTCATAACAGTCAAGGAAGCAAGGTGGAGTGGAATAAATATGTGGGGAATGAGTGTCAGGAATCCTGGAATCTCCACCAGACTCCATATGAATGTGGTCTGATCCTGACAGACCATGTCATCAATCTGGGTCTGCCGCCCCTCACCTGAGAATTGAGGGATTGCACTGGATAACCTCTACGCTCCCTTTCACACCTAAAATTTCTGATCCAGACTATAATGAGGTTTAAATGAAATCAGTGCCTAGTTGACCAAACTCTGCCTCATATCAGTTATAGTTGAAGCAAACATCAGCGTTTATCTTTTAGTAGGTTCTGGGTGTTGAAAAGCCTATGCCTCCACCTGGAATAGTAATTCTCAAAGTGTGGTCCTCAGACCAGTATCCTCTGGGAACTCATTGAACTGTGAATTCTTGGGCCCCACTCCAAAGCTACCAAATTATAATTTCCAAAGATGGGCTCCAGAAATCTTTGTTCTAACAAACTTTCCAAGTGATTCTGCTGCAGAACCATTTCCTCAGTGTAACCTCTTCTAGTTGCTTAGAACTCTTCATTTTGGAGCTCAGCTTCCTTAAAGAGGAATCAGCATTACTAATACCAGTAGACTGGCTACTGAATGAGGCATGATATAGTATAGTTATTTGGGTCAAGGAATTCAGAACTGGGTTTCCTAGATTTGAATCTTAGTTCTGAAATGTATTTGTTATGTGACCTTAGGCAAGTGCTGTAATTCCCCTGTGCCTCACTTTGGTCATCTGTGAAATGGGGATAAATAGTGGTGCCTACCTTATAAGGTTGTGTGAAGATTGAATGAGTTGATATAGTTTGAGTGGTTAGAATGGTATCTGACACTTGGTAAGGCCCTAAAAGCATTAACTATTATTACCTAGGTCTGGAGATTTTTCCTTTCTCTTTGTTATACATTCTTCCAAACTACTGACCACTTAAAAATATTTCTGGGGCACTTATCACATGTCAGGTATTGTGATCACCTGTAACTCTCACCTGACTGGTGATAAAATATGTCTCAGTTATATGCCAGATAATGAATCAACTGCTACTTTGGTCTCTCTCTCTTTCTAAAGAATAGTAAACTCTTTAGCATGTCCTGAATAGTTTGCTTCTAGTAAGAAGCAATTAGAAAAAATGCTCTGCTCAACACACACAAATAGCAGAAGGAACAGTGTCACCAATTTTGAGAGGGCCAGGGATATGGGTCTCTTTTGTCCCCTACTCTCTACTTCAGGCCATAAATATACTTAAGTGTCTATCATCCTAAGAGTGTTTCTTTAACCTATCTACCCCACAAACCACCATCTTTGCTCTTTTTCTATTTCATAAACCTTAAGAGGCTTTCTCTCTTATTCACGCCTGTCCACTATAACTTAGCTTCTATGACCAATGGTCTTTTGAAACTGCTCTAATGAAGGTCAGCAGCAATTTCCTAACTGCTCATGCTTTTTCCACTTCCTATTCCTGAGGTATCTATGCTACAGACACTCCCTCCTTCTTTGTCTTCCATGATACCATCCTGTCTTGGTTCTATTCTTGGCCTACTCCTAAAAGCAAGCTCATAGCTACACATTATTTCCCTCTTCCCTCAAATATATATTTTTTCTCTAGGATAATATTTGTTGCAGTCATTTGTGAGTCATCTTGGACTCTTCTTTGTCCCTTTTGCTTCACAGAAATGGTATCCATTGTCTCTCTCTCTATAAAGCCTGTTAGCCCATACATACCTGGTATTAAGCAGATGCCCCACTTTTGATCATACTCATAATTTAAAGTGGTTGCACACCATGGCCCACCATGATTTTCATCACGAATGCACTCATGATGCCAGGTCCCATTAACTAAGAATGGAAATTCACAAGGTCTTCCATAGGAGTTCCCATCTCTGGTATATATCTCTGTGGTGTGGGGAGGAAGGAAAGGAAAGTTAAAAACTGGACAATCACCTTCATTTAACTAATTCCTAAATTTTCTGTGAAAGAAAGATTGTTGTTTGCGCTTAAGAGAATACACTATCAGGGTGCCTGGGTAGCTCAGTGAATTAAACATTTGACTCTTGATATTGGCTCAGGTTGTGATCTCGCAGTTGTGAGACTGAGCTCAAGCCTGGCATTGGGCTCTGTGCTGAACACGGAGGTTGCTTGGGATTCTCTCTCTCCCTCTCTCTCTGCCTCTCCCCTGTTTGTGTTCTCTCTCTCTCTCTCTCTCTCTCTCTCTCTCTCTTTCTCTCTCTCAAAATAAATAAACTTAAAAACATAAATAATAAAAAAAGAGAATACAGTATCTAAGTAGGTTGCACAGCGTGGAAATTCAGAGCATGGAAACTGGTCAGATCTGTACTTAAATGCTGGCTCCCCCACTGACTGACTGTGTGGCTGTAGCAAGCTCTCTAATTTCTATTAGCCTCAGTTTCTGTATCTGCAAACTAGGAATAATAGTATCTAGCTAATAGGTTTATTCAAGAGGATTCAATGAGATAATCCATGTAAAGCATCATTTATTATGGTGTGATAAAGAGCTAAATGATCCTGGCTTGATCCTGCAGGGATCAACTGATTGCCATGGGTGGAAGACTACTTCACCAGAAGGGGATCTCTGCCTGAGACTAAATTTACATTTTAAATTATTTTATTTAGTAAGAGTGGGGCCAGAAAAATACCTTGGAGTCACTGAGGGTGGGTGTGGACTTTGGAACCAGGTGTAGTTAGGCAGATGGACGCATAGCCCCATTGCTCACAGACTGGTGGTAGAACTGAGGTTGTGGGTTTTGAGGAAGTGGGAGAAAGAACAGCTGGATCTCTGAGATGGTTCTTGGAGAAGAGCGGGACACGGTAATTCATGTTATAAAAGAAGAACCAGCTTCGTCTGGGAAGTCATGGGGCTGGCTGGTGGCCAGAGAGGTATTAGTACCAGGTTTTCATTTTGTTTTATTTAAATTCAAGCTAGTTGTCATACAGTGGAGTCTTGGCTTCAGGAGTAGAACCCAGTGATTCATCCCTTACATATGACACCCAGTGCTCATCCTAAAAAGTGCCCTCCTTAATGCCCCTCACCCATTTAGCAATCCCCCTACCCATCTCCCCTACAGCAACCCTCAGTTTGTTTTCTGTATTTAAGAGTCTCTTATGGTTTGCCCCCTTCTCTGTTTTTATCTTATTTTTCCTTCCCTTCCCCTATGTTCACCTGTTGAGTTTCATTTTAATAATTTGCCCTGGTGCATGGATAAAAACTAAAAAATTATTCCAACCACAAATATGCCTGGAAATACTAAAGAAAGTGCTCAATATTTATGCGGATAACAGTTCTCTTGGAAAGAGGCTTTTATAGAACAGCTAGCTATGTAATTATTTTGGTTACCTTTTTCCATACCCTTAATTTGTTTAAAACCAAGGTCATTATCAGATCAAATAGTGGCTATTTACCAAGGTAAAGCATAATAGTCAGATCTTATCACCCTTTACCAGGCTATTAGGGTCCATCAAAATGTCTCACAGATTTGCTTAAAAGTGCACTTAAGATAGTATTTGATTCCACGTCCTTTATCATTCTCAAATATTCAGTTAACTGAAGTATGAGACTTGATTTAACAGTTTAGAATATATTAAGCAGTAGTACAGCAAAAAGTAAGAATAATCCAGATGCTTTTATTTACAAACAATCTTTTAAGGGACACTGGTTTTATTTTCCTCTGACATATAAATGATTTTGGACAGGATATTTCTGTTAAAGAGTAATTTGGCCTTACATTTTATAATAAATCTGCTTATTACCTGTGTTCTCTTTTTAATGATACCAAAGCTTATAATAGTTCATGACAATTTCTCTTCCAACATTACAGTACTTAAAAGGAGTCCCTGAACACAGCAACTATTACTTGTAGAACCCTCAGTTTCTTCCTTTTTAAAAAGTCTTGTGTTTCTGTAATACAGAGTGCTTTCACATACATTTCTTTTACTTGCTCTTTACCATAAACCTATGAGAGCTATAGGGTATGTATTACACTTTTTTGTGAAATCTCCATTTTTTGCAATGTAGTTATATAAAACATTCACTAAACTGTAAGTGACAAGGATGGGAACTGGCTCCCTCATTAGAGTCCTTGACATGTTAAGCACAACTTGTGACTTCTGCCTTCTCAGATTTCAAGTTCTGTTTCATAGCTTAAAGCTGGGTTTCAATTAAAAAACTCTCCTATTCACAATATCGTTTGAAGAATGATAAGGATATAGCAACCACCACATCAGTAGCAGCTAACTTATGCTAAATGTTCACAAAGAGGTTTGTTCTCACACATTTTTCACTGCTGCTGGACCTCTTAAATCCTATGGGTTTCCCTAGAGAGACAGCCTTTTCCTGAGAAGAATCTTCTCTGAATGTGTGAATTTATGATGACTGCACTCTCAAAACAACAGCTTATTCTGAAATAGGTACAAATTGGTGAGTTGAATCACTTACATGGAAAACTAACATTAATTTCTTCTGCAACATGAGGCAAAATAGCTTCAATGGTTAAAGAGGTTGGCAGGCTCGCAAGAGTTGTTCAAAATTCAGACAGTTCTCCACTAAATTCAATTTCCTCTGGATTCACCAAATATTCAAAATTTGAAGGCTGCTAGTGAGCTCAAGATATCTTAATGATATACACATTTATCTGGAGGCTGGTCAAAGGCAATTCATTCATAAAGTTTATACAACTAAAGTTTTCTCTGAGATGAACATGACTCACACAGGATGGGGGTTGGAGGAAGGCAACCCAGGAAACAATGACAAATAATTTTTCTCATATTATAAGTAAAAACATTTATATTGCAAATACAAGGGAGAAATAAAAAAGCTATATTTGGGGAATTCAAATTATGGTGTTGAGCACTGCTTTGCTGTAACAAGTTTGGGTAACCTTGGACTTCACTCTATTGGGACTCTTAAGTCTTATCTTTCTTATCTCTAGACAGCTAGCTAGACAAAAGGCAGGGCAGAGACCAATATGCAGAGTCTGACAGAGTAGTGCCAGAGAAAGCCCTTAACTGAAGACAGTAGTCTCTAATCTAAGAGCAGGAAGGGACTACATAAATTTAAAAGAGTAAAACTGCCAGGACTTAACATGTGATTAATTTAGTAAGAGAGGAAAGCAGGACAATTCCAGGGTGACTTATAGATTCCTGACACACACAACTTGGATGGTACCAATCATCTGGAAAGGAATAGAAAAGAGGAGGTAGGTTTGACCCTGGCTTCTGTCCAGATTAAAACTTGAGGTGTGTACTGATGAGTCAGAACTATGAGAGCCTTTTCTCAGAAATCTCTAAAGTTCTTATTTGAAAATCCAGTGTTCCAAATATTGTATTTGGTAAGGTCAAGAAACACTTTGTGCCTGTGGGCACTGCTTAGTTCTTTCTGGGTTGGTACCCCAAGTGGGTTCTTAAACTTTTTTTGTGCTCCTGATAACTTTGGCAGCTATATGAAATGCACAGGTGCCCTTCTCAGAAGAATATTACAAATGCATAAAATAAACCCCATAGGATTACAAAGAAAATCAGTTAGACTGAAATTAAGGTCTTGGGGTACTTAAGGAATTTACGATTACAACTACATCCCTCAAAAGAATCAGGAGCAGGAGACAGAAAGAGCCCTGCCGAGAAAATAATACTGTCTGATCTTTGAACAAATTCGATGAAACAAGTCAAATCCAGTTCAAAAGGCATTTTGTGTCATTCCATGTTTTCTCTTAGTTGCCAAACTGGAGAAACGCTTTCAAAGTACAAAATTTAAACTTGCCATTAAGTGGTATCCAAATAGCAATTGCTTTTTTTTTTTTTTAACGTTTATTTACTTTTGAGACAGAGAGAGACAGAGCATGAATGGGGGGAGGGTCAGAGAGAGAGGGAGACACAGAATCCGAAGCAGGCTCCAGGCTCTGAGCTGTCAGCACAGAGCCTGACGCGGGGCTCGAACTCATGAACCACAAGATCATGACCTAAGCCGAAGTTGGACACTTAACCGACTGAGCCACCCAGGCGCCCCTAGCAATTGCTTTTTAATGTTAGGAGGAAGCTGGCTAGCAAAAACAGACTTGTTCAATGACTCAAGGATCGAGGATTAAAAAAAGGAAAACCCCATATCTAATTCTCCAATATTTTCCCGTTAATAGCAGAACCTGACATCTCAGAAGCAGATGCATCTTCAGTAGGAAATAGAAATAGGTTACCACAGGAGAAAAATTTGTGTGTGTTATGGGAAGGACAGAAAGCCAAATTTAGCTTAAGTGAGCTTTAAGAGAAAAGAAAAATCCCTGTGAAGCTATATAAATTTACAAAGAAGAGCAAAGGTGAGATAAGGGTTAAGCCTTAGATAAGATAATTAAATATATATTTATATATAAACATTTGATGTAATTCAGAACAAGATGATGAAAAAGATTTGCTTGGGTGATACCAAATTACATTTAGAGGTTTAAAAAAAATAAATCTACTCCTTCTGACTTGGAAAGTTGTTATAATCCAGTTTCTAGATGCAGAACAAAGTTCATGATCAGCTATGTCATAGGCAATATTCATATACAGTTGACCTTCCAATAACATGGGTTTGAACTGCACAGGTCCGCTTATATGTGGATTTTTTTCTGATAAATACGGTACAGTACTGTAAATGTATTTCTATTCCTTATGATTTTCTTTCCTTTTTTTTAGTTTATTTACTTATTTTGAGAGAGAGAAAAAGAGAGAGCATGAGTGGGGAAGAGGCTGAGAGTGAAGGAGACAGAGAATCCGAAGCAGGCTCCGACTTGGGGCTGGATGTCACCAACTGTGAGATGACGACCTGAGCCAAAATCAAGAGTCAGATGCTTAACTGACTGAGCCACCGAAGCACCCCTCTTTATTATTTTCTTAATAGCATTTTCTTTCCTCTAGGTTACTTTATTGTAAGAATACATTATGTAATACATATACAAAATACGTGTTAACTGTTTATGTTGTTGGTAGGCTTCCAGTAAACAATAGGTTATTAGTAGTTAAGTTTGGGTGAGTCAAATTTTCAATTGCACGGGGGTCAGTGCTCTTAACCCCCACATTGTTCAAGGGTGAACTGTATTTATTTTTGAAAGCAATTAAGAAAAAGTCCACTCTTAAAAAGCTGAATCATAAACACAAACATTAAAGTGTGACCGCCATGCCAAAAATAGAAATTCACTCACACGAGGTCTTTAAGTTTTTCCATTACATAAAAATCTGCCAAGGAGAAATACATTTTCTTTTTTCTTTTCTTTTCTTTTCTTTTCTTTTCTTTTCTTTTTCTTTCTTCTTTTTTAACTTATAAAAAGTTTGATTTTACTAGGTCATTTGAATTTTATCCTGTATGAAGAATTTCCTGTTACTCTACCATTTCTTTCCCTCTGGAGTTCAGAATGTAATCATAGGAAATACATATACTCAAGCATCAGAGAGATTTCAGATCCTAGGTTTACTACAGAGTGACTGTGTGACCTCTGACGAAGTACCTAACCTCTTCTGTAAAATAGGAAAAACAGCACCAACCTCACATGGGTAGCCCAATGTTACTGCACTGTGCCTGAAACTGAATGCTAGCTCACTGCCCTTACCAACGCATGACTTTATTTGTGATCAGTTGTGCAGGTTCAATGTCACATTTACCAAACCCAACAGCAAATGACTAAAGTCCCTCTCCAATACTCACCATGGTAAGGCTGGTCACAGAGGTTTTCCTCTGTGCCTCCTTTCTTCCAGACGTCAGATGAATTTGTACTTGCTATAGCATGTCCATTCTTCAGAGCCAATCTGTACTGGGCAGCTCCGTACAAAGAGTAGTGCTCACATTTCCACCACAGCATAGCACTGGAGTCACAGCTGAACATTCTCAAGGAGTCTGTAGGTTTAGTAATATCTAGCCCCAGGCACTTCTGGGATTGCAAATGAAAGAGGCGATGCTGGGACACCCACTTCCATAACATGTCCCTACTTCCATCACAGTCTGTTGCTATTATCCAGTCATTCAGTGGCTTGATGCACTTGCCCATGTTTTCATTGACAACGGTGAATGGATCATTGCCTGAGTCAAGACAGACAGTTAAAGAAGACATTTCAGGATTCTGAACTGTGTGGTTAGTGTGCCTTGGCCCCTGCTTGCTGAGGGGAGTCTGAACACTCCGGGATTACTCCCACCCTCCAACATCTATAAACTGCAATGCACTTATACAAGGTCAGAGGACAGTGGTAGTCAGAGAGGCAGTATAGTGTGGATTAAGAGCATGAGCCAGTCTGCCTAGGTTCATAGTCTGCCTCTGCTACTTATTACCCATGTGATCAGGGCAAGTTATCTAACCACTATGCCTCAGTTTCCTCCTTTGTAAAATAGTACTTCCATATGGTAGATATTAGGTTAAAATGAGCTTATACAGGTAAAGCACTTAGAATGGTATGTATATTTTTATTGTTGTTCCGTGAAATATCTGCCCCCCCTTATTTAATGAGATGAAGAAACTCCTTCGTTTTCATCTTCCTTAGAGAGGTGGTCTACGATCAATGAAAAGTATCCTGAACCTATTCAGGACCACAGTTCTGTCTTGCTTATATTAGCTACTATGGCAGGGTAAATTATTACATGGCATGAACGTGTCTCAGAGGAGATGGAGAGACTTCTGAGGGGGCAGAAGTAGAATAGTGGGGTAAAGGGATGAGAGGAAATGAAGATCTGGATTCTGAGGGTAGGAGGGACTGTAATCAGCTCTACCTTAGCACCCACAGGAACGTGATGAGAAGCAGTGGAGAGGGGTCGGGAGAGTGCTGACTGTGTGGATCACCTACGGAGGCTGAGGCTGAGCCTGAGCTCCAGAAATCACCTGGGATTCAGAATTCAACAGCCAGGAGGTTTGGACAGTGGGAAACTCCAAAGTGATGAGCATAAGCTGAAGGCGAACGAAGGGACCTCCCTGAACGCTTCCCTGCCACTTTTGCATAAGTTGGGGAAGACCTGAGTAATGACAAAAACTGAAGTTCTGCTAACTTGGTGGAATGGGACCTCAGAATAAAATTTAATCTGATTCTATGAAAATAAAGTAATGCATGGTTTCTTGCACACCTGAGCTTGTGGAACAGGATTCACATCTGTTATAACAACTTACAGTTGAACAATTTGGTCAGTGCTTTTAGAAAGAAAAATTTTTTGAAGTTATAGCACAAAAGTTCATGTTGCTGAGAGGAAAGCTGAAAGACAGTTAAACAATCATTGTCAGTGAACCAAAGGGTTCAGCAGAAGGACCTGTAAATTTTTAGTTCCCAAAAGGCACTTTCACTTTGATGCCAGTTTCACAACCATTGATTTTACTAACGCTACATACCTTTTCTGATAATAATTCACAGGCTTTCAGAGTTAAAAATTCTTATACGAAGGACTTGAGGGGAAATTTCACCATATAAATAATAACTATTCCATTAAGTCAAATCTCAGCTTGAACTTCGAACAGAATTTTTTGCTTTAAATAGCAGCAGCAGCAACAAGAATAGGAACAACTACAAAATCCTGTAAAACTTTAAGTTACTTCTGCTTTCAACTCTGTATTTTAAAATATTACGTAAGGCTGCAGCTAGGTGTCTTGGTCATAGCAACTTCCATCCCTCACCCTTCCTTCTTGGACATTTCTCCGCCATTCTCTGCTTTATGGACACCATTTGGGAGGATAGTTAACAAAAAGAGGAAAACATACTGTCTTAGAAGATTATCGCTCACAATTTCTCCAGTGTGCTTCTCCTACATATTCAATATCGACGCAGACCCATGAGGTACTTTTTTCCCAAACTATTCTCTCACTTCTCCAAGATAAATCTCATATTCCAAAGTATCAGGAGTTACTGGAGAAAAAAAAGAAGTCTGCTTCTACAGGAGAATAGGCTGCCACCTCCCTTGCTGGAACATTTCCCTCTGTTGCCCTGTGGTCTCACTGCCTTCTTTCGTGGGCACTCTGCTCTGTGCCCTTTGATCCCAGATAGATGAGCTGGGCCAGCAGGAGTTTTGCTATCTTTGCAGTGTTTCAAAGTTCTTTCAAGTTGCCTTTGCAGAATCCAATAGATTAGCTATAGCTCTTAGTATAGTGGCACAAGCAGTGGAATACGAGTTAGGGGTGCTAGGTTGAAGACCTACCTCCACTACCAGTTAGTTGGTAGAGATGTTGGGGAAGTCACTTAATCTCCCCAGGGTCTTCCTATCTCCAAATGTAAGATGAAAGCAGAGAAGTTTAAGATACCTTAGCCACTTTCAGTACTAATATCCTATGCTTCCACAAGATAAGTTTTCCTAGCCTTTCAGGTTTTACTGGTCTTTGCCAAGTTCATTGTATATTGTTCTTAAACAGATGTCCACAACTTTATTATGTCATGCTAATGCTAGTAGCATTTTAGGTCATCCTAATCCCATTAGCATCAGGTATGTGCACCTAGGTAACAGTGATGCTTTATAAATACTCTTTGGAAGTGAAAAAAAAAAATTACCCTTTCCCATTTACTGTATGTTTTACTTCTGGGACACCCATAGACTGAAGAAGTTTGTAGGAACTCTGAAAGACTACAGGAGAGGTATGGAATGGCATGGAAAAGGTATGTAAAAGAGGAGTTGCCAAGCTTCTTACCTAATTGTAACATCTATGATCATAAATACTTGACTCATTTTAAATCTGTCTTTTAACTATTTACAATCAATGTTTGACATCCATAGAGTTCCCTTAGCACATACATTAATTATTGATATGATTTAAGGAAACTTGCCATTAGCCTTCATACATAATGTATGTGTAAGCATTCATACATAATATATAAGGTAGGGAGAGTCGTCTTTTTATGATGTTTCCCCATATCATTCCTTACCCTTCGCAGAAGCAGTTCAGTCTGCCTCAGTCTTGTGACCCTACCGGGATGGTAGAGCTGAAGGGTGGGAAGGACTGAGGAAGTGTGAAAATAATTCCTTATTTATAAAATGTGTTAAATAAGGGTAAATAAAATATTTCAGAAATATATTACACTTTGAAAAGGTAATTACACAGCAACTTATAAAAGATTCTTTATTGACAACCTTATGTTGCATCTTATTCATGTTATCTTATAATATATCCTAAATGGAATTTTAATGTTTACTTCCACATACAATATTTGGGCAAGTCTAAAAGGCAGAGGTTGATGAAAATAAGCCTCATCATCCCTAGTAGCATTTTTATATGCTTCATTTCATAGAAATATTCTAGTGGTATCTGAGAGGAAATGGCTAAGTAGTATTATCATATACTGAAAACGAGTTTTTAGTATTCCACATTCATCAAAGGAAAACTATCTCCTATTGCCTAATCATTAGGTAATTCTTGTCTTACCTAAACAAAAGAGGTCTGCACAGTCCAAAGAGAAGTTGGACATCAACATTTTATAATCACAGACAAATGGAGAGGGAGATAGAGGCAAGAAGGATGAAGATTGCAGTATTTTTAGTTTCAGGGGAACTTCTAGAGTCCACAGTGTTAAGAATTTCATGGAGTCACCACCATGTACACAGATCATACGTGTGGAGTAGGAAAGAATCAGAAGTTTGGGTTTGTCAGTTCAAAAACAGGTCCTGAAGTGACCTTGGGTCCATGACAATCTACTAGGAGTCAGGAAGTCATGGCATTCAGATTGGGTGTTATGGGCTGGTGAGAACCTCAGGAGTCCGAGAAGGACTGGTTTACTTCAAGCTATTAGCTCTCCCAGGAGGCCAAAAAGTAAACCAAGCAATTGGGATTTCCCCAAGGGCACAGAGCAACTACTAGGTGTTGAAATTAGGTGTTTCAGCACCTGAGCAACACAGGCCTCCTGCACAAACCTAACGGCATACATGTGACAGAGTGCATGCCATTACCAGCATCGTGAAGCTGACACACTGCCAAACAAATTACTCAAATGGCTAGGGTTTCAAAATTCCAGTGCTTCCCTTAATGGGACCACAAGTCTGGTCTGAGGGTGTAGTAAACAGACCAGAGCAGCTACTAAGGGTGAAGAAGGATTCAGGAAATCAAATACCTGTCAGGACCTAGTGCAGGAAGAATGGAGTTAAGCTGATGCTCTTTGCTTTGGGGTGATGAGAAAGGCCAGGGATTGCAGAGATTGCAAAAATTAAGGAAATCTTGAGTTCTGTGGGGGAGACAAAAACAGATAAGACTAAAGCAGAAGCAGATGGAAACCAAGTCTTCGGTGACAGAAAGGTCAGGGTGTTTTGACTGTGGTTAGTTGTGGCAGTGAAATATTTCTACCTGGATTGTGGGCAGGTGGAATAGAATTCTCACAGCCAGTAAAGGACTTTTGGCAGTTTCCAACAGGGAGGGTCAAAGGAGAATGGAGAAGTGTGAATCAGATCAGCATTCACTAAAAGGTCCTTGTTGTAGATAGGGTGATGTCACTCACACTCTGGGAAGCTTCTTCACATCACGCTCTGTAAAAAGTCTAAATCTGGCAGTAACTTAGTTTAGCTCTTACAGGAAAATAAGAACCACAAGCAGCCTACGGTTTTCAAAAAAGTTCTTACCCATCTTTTACTTCCTCATACAGGAAAAGTGAACAGAAGTGGTAGGTGGTGACGGCCCACTGACCACTCGCTATGCAGCCCGACTAAGAAAGTCCTCGGGGGCATCTTTTGCCAAGGCAAAAAGAAAGTAAAAGCAAACTCCGATTGCTGCCAGGGGGCATGGTGAGGCTGGCACTACCCAGAGCATCAGCGAAGGGAGTCTATTCCTGGTCCTGCTTCCGCAGTTAGAGGCAGGAAGGTCTCTGGACAAGCCACCTGCGCTTCAACGTGGGACCGTCAGCCTCGCAGGGGTGTTTTGGAGTTGATAAGGCAGTTAGGGGAAAAGATCGCCGCTCAAGGCTTTAGGGGAGAGCATCGTAAAGAAGTTATGATCATTGTCACTTTAGAAGACATGGCTTAACCTGACTTCCTTTTGGACGTGCACGTTGGCGGACGTGCAGCTAAGTTGGGGCATCATTAATCATTCTGGGCGCTATGGGTAGAAAGTTCCTCTAGACACTGAGTGGCCAAGGTGACCAGGAGGCGAAGGAGGGGCGAGACCCGCTGGATGGGGTGTGGGGGTTGCTGAAGAGCCCTTTACTCTAAGGAGGCAAGATTTTGGAGGCTTCAGGACGAGGAAGGGGCGGGGGAGCAGCACAGAAAAGGTCATGCGCCTTCCCTAAGGTGGACTGTTCTCTCTCAGCACTAGAAAGGCCCTGCCACCACTCCCCCCGCCGCCACCCCTCCATCCTCCAGGCGCCCGAGGGCCAGGGAGCTCCTCCTACCCCAGAATTCCCCTTCGGCTCACATGTTCGGCTCCAGACCCCCGAGGAAAGCAGAGGTGACGAGACCCGGGGCGCCGCCCTAACCCCAACCGAGGAAAGTCGGCAGACCTGACAACTTCGAGGGCCCTAGTCGCCGCCGACCTGGCCCGCCCGCGATTACCTGCGCGGCCAGAGGGCTCCGCCAGTCCGCAGCAGCTGAGAAGTAGCAAGAGGAGCCCCGCCGCGCGGCGAAGGGTCGCCCACCGCGTCCTCATCCTGAGCCGGCCCCAGCAGTCCAACCGGGTCCTCGGGCGCACGCGGGACCCACCCCTCCCGCTGCGCCCAGCGGGCCGGGCCGGCGCTTTTGCCTAGAGCCTCCGGGGAATCCCGGCCCCGCCCCGTCCGCCCTCGGCCAATCAGGCGGGGTGGGGCGGGGCAAGTGAGTGGACTCTTTGGCGGGAAGACGAACTTAACGCGCACCTTCTAGAGGACCGACCCGCCAGGAGACGGGAAGTGAGCGCGGAGCTACACTGCAGAGTGTCGCTCCGACTACCGGGCTTGGGGGGTCCTGACCCCCACTCTTCTTCAGTAAAGTTGAGGAGACGCGGCAGTTGCCGGGACTTGGCAACTTCCTGGTGTGTGGGTTGGGTTCGTTTAGGACTTTGTTCTCTGCCTAGCGCACCTGTCTGGGAGGACCTCTTGACTGCGGGCTAGGCTGGAGAGGCACCCACATCCTCTCATACCCCAAAGGCGGAAGTCTGCACCCGTAGTGTTGCTGCTGCTATCAAGCCAAGGAATTCAGGTGTCCTTAGTTGCGTCTTGTGTTTTCGGATAGTGCAAACAAAGGCAAGGTAATCGCACTCTGCAGTTTCACCCGCAATTGTTAAAGAATGAAAAAGCAAGAGCTATTTGAGTGAACCTACAATCAATACTTTCAACGATTTAGGCCTTATAACCATCTGACCTTTGCAAGTAAGCTCTTCTCTTAAAAATTAATAATAATAATCCAGTGGAAATGGGAAGTGTGCACCCCAAACCAGCAATGTGAGAATAATATTTATCCTCTCCCTGTGGGAACTGCAATCATCATAAATAGGCTGACCTAAGTTGCCTGGATGTGAATGTCCTATATTCTTAAACCCCATAAAAGCACATGGTGTGTACCCAGAAACACCTTCATTCCTGTCCTCTGAGAGTGAATGCTTCCAGGAGGAGAAGAACATCTAGGTTGCCTCTCCTGATTCTAACTGCCAAGGCTTTGCTGATGACTCCTAACCTTGACTCTGGTCTCTCCCCAGACTTGGGGCCTTCAGTTCAGTAAATATATTAAGCACTTGCTATTATGGGGAGGGGCTCCTCCCAGGATAAGATAAAGAGACAACATCCCTGCGGGCTCAAGCTTACTGAGTACTAGGGGAGACTGAGGCACACACAGTTAACTTAGGGCAGAATGAATGGGGAGACTGGACAAAGCTTCAAGGAAGACAGCACCTCAACCTGGGTCTTGGGTAGTGGGTAGGAATTTGACCATGCATAGCTGGTTGGAGAAAAGTAGTAACAGAATGGCAGGAAAATTGCAAAGCAGGGGCAGAGGACAGCAGTCCAGTATGACCGCCCTTCCGGGTGCGCGCGCGCGCGCACGTGTGTGTGTGTGTGTGTGTGTGTGTGTGTGTGTGTGTGTTAAAAGTAATTGTGGCGGAGGCCTAAGTGAAAAATGACAGCAGAGAAGTAACTTGTGGAAGTTTCGTGAAGTGCCTTGAATATGATGTCAAAGACTTTGACTTGATTCTCTAGAACTGGGCAATGGAAAGTTCTGAGTAAGACTATCTGCTACTGCCCTGATTCCCTCTGCATTTGTGGTTGCTTGCCTTTCTGATCCTGCCCAACTTGGAGCTACTTGACAGTTGTGCTCTTATCTTCTCATTATTACCTTCCTACACTGAGCACAGACCCGATCCAGTGTAAGCTCTCAAAAAAAAAAAAAAAAAAATAGTTTACTTACTAAATGAATTCCTAGAGCCACACCTTAGCATAGGGCCATATGAACTCTTGCTTGCATTATGTTGCAGTAGTTTCTCAGTTGACCTCCCTGCCAACAATTCTCCTCTTAGGCAAAGGAATCTTAAACACTGTTTGGAACATATGACCTTTCTTCTGCTCACATCCTTTCAGTGCTAAGTGGGAGTTCAGGAGTATTGTGAATGCCTGAAATTATATACAGTTTTATGAATGCACTTAAAAAAAATTTTTTTTTTGAGAAAGAGCAGAAGAGGTCCAGGGCTTTCCTGAGAGTCTCAAAGAAGCCTGTGATACAAAAGGAAAACTCATCTAGGATAAAGCAAGCCCCTCTGTGATCTGACCCTTTATGTTTATTTACCTTCCTATGTCATTCCTTGGTTCAGTCAACCTGTCTGAATCTGTCTTGCCTTTTCCTATCTCTGCCCATATATCCATATTTTCTCCAATGTAGAATGCTTCTTTTCATATTTTCTCCAATGTAGAATGCTTCTTTTCCTTCTCCCTTGGTTTAGTTCTACCCTTCCAGTTAAGGCCGTGCTCAAATCTCACATTTTATATAAAACGTTTCTAAGAAGGACCCTAACCCTTGGGGATTCCAAACATCTGGATAATATGCATTCTGTTCACTTCATATTTAACACGTAGTGCCTCTTGCTGTTTGAGTAATCCCCCCTTATCTGTGGTTTTGCTTTCTGTGGTTTCAGTTACCCTCAGTCAACCACAGTGCGGATGATGCTTTTTCTGATGTGTGGTCAGGAGGTCAATAGTAACCTAAATCTACATCACTACATCATTTGGCTCATTTCATCTCATATGTAGGCATTTTACAATCTCACATTATCAATAGGACGATGAGTATAGTACAATATTTTGAAGAAAGAGAGAAAGAAGAGAAACCACATTCACATACTTTATTGCAGTATATTGTTATAATTGTTTTTTATTAGTTACTATTATTAATCTCTTAGTGTACCTAATTTATAAATTAAGTTTTACAGTTACATGTTATAAATTAAGCTCTGCAGTTACATGTGTACTGATACTCCACCTAGGTTATATGTCTTAAATAACTATTTATTGTCTATGGTGACAATAGAAAGCAGTGTATCCTTCAAGTCTTACCTTGAATGTCACTTGTTCAAAGAAATCTTTCTTGACTCTGCAGTCTAGGTCAACTTCCTCTGTGATTGGTTCAGAGTACATCCCACACTTTGTCTTGATAGCACTTAGCATAGCTGGATTAAACAATTATGCACTTGCTCACTTGCTGAATGTCTGTCTCCCTTTCTAGGCTGCAGGACCCCTGACGGCGGTGACTCTGTCTGTTTAGACACATCTCTGTTCCTGGCACCTGGCCCACAATTTGCTGGGTGAATGCCTGAACAAATATATGGTAAGTGCCTCATAAAGGATGAATGAATAAATAAATACCTGGTAAATATCTCCTAATTTGCTGGATGAATAAATAAATAAATATATGGCAAATGCCTAGTGCAGGCAACAGGAGGTCTGGGCATTTAAAAAAGGGAGAAATCAACTGTGGTGGGTGGGTGAGGGTCTTCAGGCACCAAGCTGAATGTCCTTCGATGAGTAAAATTCAGTAGATAGAGGTGGTGGGAGGATACTCCATTGCTGAGGGAATGATGTGAGCAAAATCACAGACATCTGCCACCCACTGGGTGCCAGGCCATCGTGCTGACAGTTTCCAATGTGCTCTTTTATTTGATAGTCATTCTATGAAGGAACTATTATCCTTATTTTACAAATGTGGAAACTGAGACAACATAGACAAGATTGATAACTAGGCCAAGGTCAATAGCCATAAATGAGGATACCAAGATGGAAATCTAACTATAGAACTTGCATGAATATATGAGAGTATTCATATTATTTTATTCTTAGTTACAATTAGGAAGTGGGAACATGAGCTTTTGGTATCTCCAAAGTGAAGTTTTTAATTATAAAATGCATCATACCTAAAAAAGAGTAGCTAGGATTGTGGGCTTCCTACTGATCATGTCCACCTTATTCTCAGACAGAGGTAACACCTCTTTGGAGTCGTTTCTCATTCCTTTCTTTACAGCTTCCTTATATATAGTTCATGCCTTAAACAGACTATATAACTGTGCATGTTTTAGGATTTTATGTAAGTAGATTCAGTTCAAGGTTTTTTGGGCACTTATCTTTTTTGCTCAAAATTATGCCTGTGATAGGGGCACCTGGGTGCCTCAGTCATTTAGGCAACCAAGTCTTGATTTTGGCTAAGGTCATGATCTCATGGTTTGTGAGATCAAGTGGAGCCTGCTTGGGATTCTCTCTCTTCTCTTCCTCCTCCCCCTCCCCCTGTTTGCCCCTCCTCAAAATAAATAAAAAAGATTATGCCTGTGATATTCATCTGTATTGATGTGTGTAGCTATAATTTATTCATTTTATGCAATATTCCATTATAAGAATAAAACATACTTTATCCATTCTCTTGCTGGTGGACATTGGAGTAAGTTCCAGCTGGGTAATTTGCTGCATTTAGCGATGCTTCTGTGAACATTGTTGTACATGTCTCCTGGTGCACATGGCTAGGTTTTCCTGAGAGTGCATTCTTAGAAGTGGCATTCCTGGAACACAGGGTATGTTCAGCATCAACATTATTAGACAATGCCTGTATGCTTTCCAGTTTGCACTCCCAGGTTTGCATTCCTGCTGCTGAACATCTTCAACACTTGGCATATTAACATTTTTGGTGGGTTAAAGTTATGGGTGGGTTAAAGTTGCATTTTTCTGATTACTAATGCAGTTGAACATATTTTCCTGTGTTTATTGGTAATTTGTATTTCCTTTTCCAGTTCGTGTATAGCCTGTTTATTTGCCTGTTTTCTCTTAGATCCATTCCCTGCACTCCCCTGCTTTGAATCTCCAGGGCCTAGTCTGCATTCTCAGGCTCCCTTTGCCTTCTGGTTAGGTTCAGCCAATGGGAGTAACTGGGAGTAGGACATGGAAGTTTGGGTGGGGAGAATCCAAGATTTTTCTCTCCTCTCTGCTTTGGGAGCATGCCAAGCAGTGGCTATGTCTCTTCTGTGGTTTCAGTTCCTGTCTGGAAGCCCCATTCTTTGTGGTCCAGTTCCTACCAGGCAACTGTGCTGTGATTCCAGCATAGTTGAGTGGTTCTTTCTCCAAGGGTCTAGCTCCCACAGGGTGGCCTGGGCTCTTATTCAGATAACACTGTCCTTCTCTGCTCCTCAGATCCCAGGGGTAGTAGTAG